TTATGTTAGTGGGTTGCAATAGCATGCAAAATCACAAGCCTGTTGGAAGTCAAAAATCCATTTACCTTACTAGTGCGATAAGGCCATTATTAGATGAGTGTTAGTGGGTGTATTGTTATGTAAAAATGAGTAGATCAAGCCTGGAAACCCACACAAAGTTGAAAATGTCTGTGGCCATTGCTGATTAAATACTTGATCAATTATGGGTTAAATATCACGCAATAATAATCATGAAGTATTCCAGATTAAACACACTTAATAATCTCACAGAAAAATCGACGTAAGTGTCTATTAGGCTTCTAGTGCGGTAATCGATTTACTTTTCAACCTAATAATGAAAAAAAAAAAAAGTTACTGCAACTTTTCAACTATCGAAAACAAAAAATTTTGAAAAAACCTTACAAAATGCGCAACATACTACACCTGCTATGATATTAACAAAAAAATTAATCCATTAGCAAGGCGATATAGTAATTTTTTTTCTATTGTCGGTGTCAGGGTCATGTGTGTTTTATAAATATTTTTTTACTGTCTGGTTGTTTAGTCCAAATAATTTGCCACTGTTCCCATGCTTGTCTAGCAACTTTGAAAGCGATTAAAAACAAATTTTTACCGGATGATTGCACAAAATTGATTAACGCTTGCAGAGGGCAACAAATTAGGATACAGTCCGACATATAAGGATTGAAATTAAACCGTGTTTAATGGGATTTTTCGTAATACAATTCCTACAGTTTTGCGATGTGGAGATTGATTGAGCTACCAAGAAAAAATGGGACAAGGCTTTGGAAACTAATCAATACTATACTTAAACCTACTTAGTAAACGATATAGCTGAGGAATGGATTTTAAAGGAGCAACACTTGGACTTATTTTGCCTTGAATTCGTTTTTTTCTATTCCATGCAATAATTGGTTATCAAAAATGTGTTAGTTTTACGAGCTTTTAGATTGTTTCTGAGCGGTAGTTTATTACGTAATTATATACTTGCCAGTGAAAAGTGTTCCGTAAATTAAAATTTTCTCAATTGCT